TTTTTTGCTAAAACCAACAGGGGACAATATAATTGTCAAGAAATATGTTCAACCCCTAATTGACGGTACTTTTTTGATTGTAACTCTTTTTCCTTGACAGCTATTAAAAAATTTTTCAAACAAAAGTTGTAGCAAATATTTTTCCCTACAAAACTAAAAAAAAAAGAAAACATTCGACCAATAGAAGCTGAGATATTCAAACTTACTACTATTTTCAAGATGGCCGCCGACGCACAGGGAAATTTTATTGGAACTTTGTGAATTTGAACATCTCCTATGACCTTCTACTCACCCTAAAAAAAATTGGCTTTTCTATCCGTTTTGTAGATATTCGGTATTTTTTGATACTATTTTACTGTACTAGAAGAAGAATGGATTCACACGTTCAACGGCAGACCCATGCATCTACATTCGACAAAACGGAGAAGAAAAACTACTAATCGCAATCTATGTTGATGACGGTCTTATCGCGGGGTCCACACAAGATACAATCGACTCATTTTTGAGATTGCTGACTTCAGAGTTCAAAATTACGACAGGTTCTCTCGATTCGTTCTTGGGAATGCAAATCGAGCAACGTAAGTCTGGACTCTTCGTTTCACAGCGGGCATACGTTGAGAAGATTTTGGAACGTTTCGGCATGGCTGACTGCAATTCGATAAAAACACCTGCTGATAATCTACAAGCGGACAAATCGCCCAACGGTGCTCTCGACAGCTCCATTCCATATCGTTCAGCAGTGGGCTCTTTATTATATTTGGCTTGCGCTTCCCGTCCAGATTTGACATACTCTGTATCAAGGGCTGCTCGATCAATGGCTGAACCTACTACATCCGACTGGATCTCCGTTAAACGCATCTTCCGGTACCTACGCGGTACCTCTGATTTGGGTCTTCTCTACACTTCTACTGGGAACGGACTACATGCGTATTCCGACGCAGACTTTGCAGGAGACGCCACGACACGACGTTCAACAAATGGCTTCGTCTCACTTATTAATAGTACAGCAGTATCATGGACTTCCCAATTGCAGAAATCGGTTTCTCTTTCGACTACTGAGGCCGAATTTGTTGCTGCAAGCGAGGGTGCAAAAGAGCTGGTATGGCTTAAAAGACTATCGTCTGAAATCGGTGGAACTAGAGGAATACCTGTTCTTTTCGTCGATAACGCAAGTGCAATTAAACTTATAAAGAACCCCGAATTCCACAAAAGATCTAAACATATAGAAGTTCGTTTTTACTTTGTCCGAGAGCTTTACCAAAAGGGTGATATTAAGTATAGTGAGTATAGTGAGACGTGTTACTGTGCGATCCGGTAATAGTGAGCTGTATACTGCTGCCTTATGCCCTCGGGCGAATTTGTTTTCAGAGTCGAGGCAAGCTAATTATCTGCCAGTTCAGGTGGATGTAATTTTCCAAGGGATTTATAATTATCTGGGCCAAAAAGGAAGGAAAGAAAGGCTGAAGCATCCTAACCTAGAAGGAGGAAAGTGACAAGCGGGACGGAATACTGGCTGGAGAGACAGGCGAGTGCCGGCATCTAACGGAAAGCGAAGGTACCTGCGGGTGTATATGGAAGAGGGACAAAGGAGCGAGGAGAGTGATAGGAAGAGCGAGTTGAACGAGAGACCAGAGAAAGAGGAGGATAGGGGGAGAGCAGTGGGAAGAAGGGGGAGACCAACGAAAGCAGAAGCGCTAAGGAGAGAGAGAAGTTCGAGTGCTAGCGCGTGCACAAGCGTAGCGTCGTGGATAGCGAAGAGAGGCAGAGAGAGCAGCGGGACAGGAAGCGAGGAGGAAAAAGACAGTAAGTGGACAAAGGGAAATAAGAAAAAGAAAAGAAACAAAAAGGATAAAATAGAAACCGGAGAGACAAGTGAAGGTC